GATGATGATGATGATGATGATGATGATGATGATGATGATGATGATGATGATGATGATAATAATACTGATGACAACTACAATAATAATAATTTATTTATTTATTCAGCAGAGTGAATCTCAATAAAGCGTGATTAGTAGAGCTTACTTTGTTATCAGCAATCCAATTGAAAATGTTTTTATTAGATATTGCATGGTTTCAAGAGAACTTTAATGTATATATAATAAATTTTTTGACAATTTTTGTTTCTGTTAGATAATTGTAAAATGAATTCGATAAATATATCATAACATAACCAGCTATTTTTATTTCATCTGGCTCGAGAAAGATTTACAAGTTGAGTACGGAACCGCTTTTGCTCTGCTTTCTGTTCAGGCTGCACAAAACGGTGATCACTCAGCGCTTCATCTGAGCGCTTAATCTTTTCTCGACCCCGATAAAAAAAAGTAACACACATTATTTTATGGTACTTACTAAAATTGTCTCGAAATCCTTTAACAAAATTCAAGATGATCCTTGAAAAATCATAGGAAACAATTACCAAAAAATGTGCTACATATGTACGTATTGAAGCTCTCTCGAAACCAAGCAATATCTAATAAAGATCATAAAAACATTTACGATTGGACTACTAATAACAGAGTAATCTCTACTTTTCACGCTTCGTAGTCAATCTTGTATAATATTAATAATAACTATAATTATAAATTTTAGTTAGGAACAATAATAATAATGACAACAAAGAGTCGAGTTATTCAATATTGAATATATTGAATATATACTCAGCGAATTGAAGCCATTATTAATTTTGAAATAAGCAAGTGATGCTTTTTTCAGAAAAAAGACGAGCTTTGGGAAGGTACCGACCATCGCAGTCGATAACGAACGCTTACCATTAATTCTTCCGTCGGCATTGAAGCACACTACTGTTGAGGATACCGCTTGTAGGAAAAGTCATATTATCGATGAAAATCAAGATAGCGAACCGTTGCTCGAAAGAAGTCTAGAACTACGTTCGGAAGGTAAGATGAACGTCGAATTCGTTCCAGAGGCCGCCGAGGAAACTGATTCAATCGTTCTCGAAGAAACTGCAATCCCACAAGACGCTAAAATTATTATGAAAAAGGATGAAGAGAGAGCGAGACTGCCGACACCACCACCTTCCAAAAATGTATCCTTCAGTGAATTACATGATCAGGGATACTCCGACCAACATATCCTTCCTCCGCCATTACAATTCATTCCACCCAGACATCGACATTCTGGTTAGTTCTTTTCAATTGTAAATATATAGATTAAACAAACATAAGAATTTTTTAAAAATGTAAAAACTTAACAAATATTATATATATTGAATTTCGAAAAATAACAAGAAACATTCGTTAAATGGACGCTTTCGGTTTTAATAAACTTACTGCATCAATAAAACAATAAAATAGATAAGGGTGTAACTTTGATTTAAAACTATAAAGATTTCGAAAATATTTTTTTTGTGTCATTATATCAATCGAGAAAGCAAATAACTTTGTAATTAACTTTTTACCTTTATTAGTTTACCAGATAATTAAAGATAGTCACAATTTTATTAACTACTTTCACCCATTAAAACTAAATTATCGCTGTTAATACAAGACACTAATCTTTTATTTTTATTAACTCTATCAATCTGTAAAATTTCATCAAAGTGGATAGCGTATACTTCACAAGTGTATTTGGTAAAAGTTCATTCGTATATTAACTTGAATTATTTGGCCCGATTTTGACACAGGATCAGTACCATCACATCAGTCTTTAAAAAGAAGATCATCCGTGAGGAATGATATCTTGGCACATTCTCATCATGAACTATCGGAACGTCGAAGAACGAGCGTACCAATTAACTCGATCAGCTACATTTCGACGGAGAACGTATCCAAGTCGAGTGGTAAGAACAACATTCAAACTACTTTCGACAAAGCATACGTGATTGGAGAGTGTGGCCATCGGCGTAGTTTAGTTACCGGCTACAGATGCGAAAAACATGGCGGACGTGGACACAGTCACGCAATGTTTAACGGTTCCGCTGAAACACCACCAGCACCGCGACGACATCGTAAACATCATGATTCCCACAATGCCAGCTCGCCAAATGTGCCTGCCGTGGTCAACGCGAGCTACTCTGATACTGGTTAATGTCTTTTCTATATCTTATAATTCTTATATGAACTTGTTCATAAATTTTATATCATAAATGTTATATCAAAATAAAAAAAAACAAAGGCATTTAACAGAAATATCGTTTTTATTCGTAATTTTTGTTAATAGAAAGATGCGAGGAGTTAGCTTCAGCGATTATTCAACGCTCGGTATCAGAGAGATCACGAGAAAAATGTTTGCGTGGTCGAAGTGGTGGTCATTCAATCTCCGAGTGTCCTCACCGTGCTGCCACTTCACATAAGGTTCGAGAATGTAGACACACCGAATCCAAGTTGCGTCATCAGCAGGCTCGCTTGGAATACGTTCAAAGTACTCCAAATGTAGCGACAATTCATAATAGCAAATATGCGAGTGGAAACTCACGTGCTGGGGACGTAGGTGGAAGTGGCGAAGGTATCCTTGGATCGGGTGGTGTGGGTCGTGGTGGGGGTGATGTCCGTGTTGGGTCCAGAGCTGGACCTGGCATTACGTCGAGTGGTGGGGAAATATACAGTGCTGCCTCCGACGGCGAACTCTTGGACCGGGCGATATTACTGCCGATATTTCAGAAGCTTCTTACCGAGAGACACAAAAGTAATGCAAGAAGTGGGTACGGTGCTAGCATAGCGAGTTGTCCGAATATATCGATAAAGTGCGACATCGTCGAGTATCTGTAAAAATATCTGTCTCTACTCGTTTTATAGCACTCGAAGAATCACGTTCTCCCGGAAAGAAAGACATGTCTTTTTTGATTCTACATAATAATGTAAATCTACAAGACTTCATTTTTTCTTTTATTTTATTTTATTCATCTTTTCCTATCGTCATTTTTATTAAATATTATGGATACATGTATAGTCAAGTAAATTCTGTAATATAAAATGTGTACGCAAAGTATATATTTATGATTTTTTCAAGAGATCGAACTGTAGTAATGTTCACATAAGTATCACTTAATCAGAATATTTTATTTTACAGAATCCCTTTTCTGTACGTCGACTTGTGAATACACGTTTAACACAATTAAATATTCAACTCGGCCATTTGAATAATACGTCTGGATCCTTTTAAGAATTAAAAACGAAAAAAAAGGTGTATCTTCACCGAGAGACTGATACATATTATTTATTATATTCTTCTCGACATTTCGGTCGAAAATAAATACAAAACCTGTCTGTTTTTCTTTCGATTGAGAATTTTCTCGTAAAGGAAAAATAATCCGCACATTTTCTTACAATTAATTTTAGTTTTACATTCTTATACCATTTTCACCTTTTTTCTTTATTATTATTATTATTATTATTATTATTATTATTATTATTATTATTATTATTATTATTATTATTATTATTAT